TCATGTCGAATTGCATCGCTATATTCGTATTTGTAAGCCGGTAATGAGTATTAATGTCATTTTCTAAAGGGGACCTTATATTATATGGGGGTAGGGTCAATTATAAACCGATCCCGATAAAATTTGGTAGAGAGATTTTGGGTTATATATAACTTATTCATATCGAATTTCATCGCTATATTCGTATTTGTAAGCCGGTGATGAGTATTAATGTCATTTTCTGAAGGGGACCTTATTAATTATGAACCGATCCTTATAAAATTTGATAGAGAGATTTTGACGCATATAAAAGTTATTTATGTCGAATTTCATCGCTATACTCGTATTTTTAAAACAGTTATGACTGTTAAAGCTGTTTTGGGCTATTCGAAATCGCAGACCGATATTGCCCATATACCATACGAAGCAAACCTTATCCATAAAAAATATTTATGGAAAATTTTAACTATCTAGCTCTTTCCGTTCGAACCCTATCGTGATTTCAACAGACACAGGGACGGACATGGCTAGATCGTCTTAATATTTAATAAGAACTCTGCATATATACTTTTGTGGGTCTACGATCTATATTTCGATGTGTTGCAAAGGAAGTGATAAAATCAATATTCCCCTCATCTATTTTGATGGTGGGTATAAAAATTAATTGTGATCGAAATGTTTAAATGCAGTAATTCGTAATTTTTCCCCAGCTGGTACTAAATACTTTCTTGTTTGTGTTAAAAGCTACACTGGTGTAGTCTGTAGTCTAGTCTATAGTCTATAGTCTAGTCTATAGTCTAGTCTATAGTCTAGTCTATAGTCTAGTCTATAGTCTAGTCTATAGTCTAGTCTATAGTCTAGTCTATAGTCTAGTCTATAGTCTAGTCTATAGTCTAGTCTATAGTCTAGTCTATAGTCTAGTCTATAGTCTAGTCTATAGTCTAGTCTATAGTCTAGTCTATAGTCTAGTCTATAGTCTAGTCTATAGTCTAGTCTATAGTCTAGTCTATAGTCTAGTCTATAGTCTAGTCTATAGTCTAGTCTAGTCTATAGTCTAGTCTATAGTCTAGTCTATAGTCTAGTCTATAGTCTAGTCTATAGTCTAGTCTATAGTCTAGTCTATAGTCTAGTCTATAGTCTAGTCTATAGTCTAGTCTATAGTCTAGTCTATAGTCTAGTCTATAGTCTAGTCTATAGTCTAGTCTATAGTCTAGTCTATAGTCTAGTCTATAGTCTAGTCTATAGTCTAGTCTATAGTCTAGTCTATAGTCTAGTCTATAGTCTAGTCTATAGTCTAGTCTATAGTCTAGTCTATAGTCTAGTCTATAGTCTAGTCTATAGTCTAGTCTAGTCTATAGTCTAGTCTATAGTCTAAGTCTATAGTCTAGTCTATAGTCTAGTCTATGTCTAGTCTATAGTCTAGTCTATAGTCTAGTCTATAGTCTAGTCTATAGTCTGGTCTAATAGTCTAGTCTATAGTCTAGTCTATAGTCTAGTCTATAGTCTAGTCTATAGTCTAGTCTATAGTCTAGTCTATAGTCTAGTCTATAGTCTAGTCTATAGTCTAGTCATAGTCTAGTCTATAGTCTAGTCTAGTCTAGTCTATAGTCTATCTATAGTCTAGTCTATAGTCTAGTCATAGTCGTCTATAGTCTAGTCTATAGTCTAGTCTATAGTCTAGTCTATAGTCTAGTCTATAGTCTAGTCTATGTCTAGTCTATAGTCTAGTCTATAGTCTAGTCTATAGTCTAGTCTATAGTCTAGTCTATAGTCTAGTCTATAGTCTAGTCTATAGTCTAGTCTATAGTCTAGTCTAGTCTAGTCTATAGTCTAGTCTATAGTCTAGTCTATAGTCTAGTCTATAGTCTAGTCTATAGTCTAGTCTATAGTCTTGTCTATAGTTAAGTCTATAGTCTAGTTTATAGTCTAGTCTGTAGTCTAGTCTTGTCTAGTCTAGTCTTGTCTAGTCTAGTCTAGTCTAGTCTAGTCGATAGTCTAGTCTAGTCTAGTCTTGTCTAGTCTAGTCTAGTCTAGTCTAGTCTAGTCTAGTCTAGTCTAGTCTAGTCTAGTCTAGTCTAGTCTAGTCTAGTCTTTAGTCTAGTCTAGTCTTTAGTCTAGTCTAGTCTAGTCTAGTCTATAGTCTAGTCTATGGTCTTGTCTATAGTCCAGTCTAGTCTATAGTCTAGTCTCTAGCCTAGTCTATGGTCTAGTCTATAGTCTAGTCTATAGTCTAGCCTATAGTCTAGTCTATAGTCTACAGTCTAGTTTATAGTCTGTATGCTAGACTATGTCAAAACATTTTTAATAAATTCAATAGACTTCTTCTTTTTTAATTTTCATTATAATTTTTGTTTTATTTTTCAACATAAAAATTTTTCACTTAAATTACTAAGATTTCATAATAACATTAAATATTACACATTTTCTGTTTTTTCAGTTTTAATTAATTAAGAAAAAAATTTAATTTATTACAGCTAAAAAATCTCTTTGGAATGATTGTTGTTAAATATTTTTATATATATAATACATATTAAATATTATTAGTCAATACATAATTATTTATATTAATAATATCAAAATAGAACTTAAATTAAAAAAAAAAACAAAAATATTTTAAATATTTTAAATAAATTTTTAGCAAAAATTTCAATATGTATAATAGGCTCAACTAACTACAATTATTTAGTAAAATTTTTTATTATTAATTTATTGTTTTTAAAAGCAATAATATTTATATGGAATACAAATTTACATTATTATTTTTTTTTATTTTTAAATAATTAAGTTTTAATTATTTAATTATTTATTTATAATTTTAAATATAATACATTTACTAATTACTAATGGAATTTACATTTAAAAATTATTTAAATTCTTTGGTTAAATTTACATTGGTTTAATTTAGGGGTTCAAAATTTACACTAAAATATAGATTATTTATTTAACATTGATTTTTATTTAGTTGGTTTTTTGTTAATAAATATTTATTTAAAGTGTAATTTTAGTTTGGCAACAAGGGAGTTTTTCATGATTATTTGGTTTTAATAATTTTTGAGGAAAATTAAAAGGGTTTTTGTTGAAAAAATTTAAATAATAAAGGGGATTTCAGTTTGTTTGTGTTGGCTTTAGAAAATTGTTGAAAGTTTGTATCCGCATTGTATATGTAGCTAGAAAAAACCTTTTAGCAACATGTTGCTTAACATATTAGCTTTCAAAAAGTTTTTATAGATTTTATTTTTGCTGAAGTAATACGACTTAAAAATCGACTTTGTTTTTATAATGTTGAGAACAACATATTAAGCAACATTTGTTTTCAATTTTGTGTTTTAAAAAACATGATTATAATATAGCAACATGTGGCTGAGTACTTTTATTTTCCAAGCTGTTATGGACATTATTTTTTTCGGTAGAAATACGACTGTGTTCTAATAATGTTTCCAAGAACATTTTAACGATATTTGCCTTCACTTTATGTTTTCAAAAACATGATCTATGTTTAGCCACATGTTGCTGAATACATTTACTTCTCAGAGGTTTTCATGAACTTCATTTTTCCAGCATTAACATTAACAGCATTTTAAAAGTGTTTTTATAATGTTGATGAACTTAACAACATGTTGCTGAATACTTTTACTTTCTAAAAGTTATTATATACATTATTTTTGCGTCAGTCATACTTGTTTACAACAACATATTTAGCTACATTTTGCTTCACCTTATGGATTCTACAACATGATGAAAGCTTAGCAACAAATTGCTGAATACGTTACTTTTGCTTACATTATATCAACAGTTTGATTGTGTTTCAATAACTTGAGAAACAATATGTTTAGCTACATTTGCAGCCACTTTATTTTAGAAATACTGCGATTAAATCTTAGCAACATGTTGTTTAATATGTTTAATATCTAGCAGATTTCATAGACATTACTTTAGCAGAAGTAATATTAACGACACAACACATGTTTAACAACATTAGACTTCACATTATGTTTTCAACAAAATGTTGTTGAACATAATGTCTAAGCAACTTGTTGTTGTTCACGTTGACTTTACAAAGAATCACAATAAGATCACTTTTCATTAAGTAATTTGAACAATACGACTGTATTCCAATAAATTTCGAAACAACATATTTAGCGACTTTATGCTTCAAATACGGTGATTAAATCTAAGCAACATGTTGATGAATATTTTTACTTTCCAGAAGAATAAATGGATATTACTTTAGCAGTAGTAATATTAACATTAAAACCACTGCGTTTCAATAATGTTAAAAACTACATGTTTAATAACATTAGCTTTCACATTATGTCTTCAACAAAATGTTGTTGAACATAATGTCTAAGCAACTTGTTGCTGTTTACGTTTGCTTTACAAAGAATCACAATAAGATCACTTTTCCTTAAATAATGTGAACAATACGACTGTATTCCAATGACCTTCGAAACAACATGTTTAGCGAATTTATGTTTCAAATACAGTGATTACTTTAGCAGTAGTAATTATTTTTAATAATAAAACCACGTTTCCATAATGTTAAAAACTATATGTTTAACAACATTAGCTTTCACATTATGTTTTCAACAAAATGTTTCGCAACATGTTGATATATGCAATGTTTTAAAGTCAGTTATAAACCATTTACACAGGAATGTTTTGTATCAAAAGTTTTAAAACGTCTTACATCAAATCTATTTAAGCTTTAAGGCAAGAAGTTAAAAAAAAAACTAAAAAGTTTTAACAAATGTTTAAGCAACTTGTTTAGATACACTTTACTAAGTAAGTTTTATATAAAAAATTTGTTACAAAAAGTTTTTATAAAATCACTTTAAACTATGAGGTAAACTTTTAAAAATTGTTAAACAAATATGTTTAGATACATGTTGCCAAGCTTTTCTTTTATGTTAGGCTTTAAATCATTACATGTTTGGGTGCAGTTCTGGTAACTATATCAACAAATTTCCAAAATCAACTGATTTTTTCAAATATTTTTTAGATATTTTTTTTTAAAATTTAGAAAATTTTCTTTTTTTAAGAAATAAATAAATTAAAATTTTGAGTTTTTTCTATAACCGTAGTATTTAATATTGCACATGTTCGTTGTTCGGGCCTGCTGTTGAGTACTTGAGTAGAATGTTGCAGCTGATGATGTTGCTGCTGCTGTTGAAGCTGTTGCTGCTGATGATGATGATGCTGCTGCGAATGAGCATGCTGTTGCAGTTGAGAATGCAACAGCATTTGCGTATGATGTTGCGAAGAGGATGTTAAAGGCAAATGAGACTGCTGATGATGATGTTGTTGTTGTTGCTGATGATGTATTACATCTTGTTCCTGCTGCTGATGTTGCTGATGTTATACCAACAGCGATACTTTTTGACAATTCATAGCAGTCAGCTGAGCATTTAGAGCAGCATTACCATTTGGAGGCCCTGAGGTGGCCGAACCCATGCCATTTTGCATATGACTAGCACCATCCGCCGCCACAGCGGCCGCTGAAGCAGCTGCTGCCGCCAAAAATTCCACTTTACCCATATTGCGTTCGATTAAGGGACCCAGATTAGTATGTTGCGTCTCTTTGTGTCTTCTCAAATCGACTTTACGTTGAAATGATTTGTGACACAATTTACAGGAGAAAGGTTTATAGCCGGTGTGTTTGCGTGAGTGGGTGATGAGGTTGGAACTTTGACTGAAAGCTTTACCGCAAACTTGGCACTTGTGTGGTTTTTCACCTGCAATGAGAAAAGAAAATTTCATTTATTATTTAAATTGCTCCATATAAAAAATACATCTAAAGGAGGGTTTATTTTTTGTTCAACAGAAATCATAAAAAATAGAAAATCTCAGGGTCGTTGTGTTTAAAAGTAGAAAATAAAAACGTTTTTTGTTTAAACGCCAACGTTCAAAAGCAAAGAAAAATCAATAAACTCATAAAAATCTGCGCAAAACTTTAGTTAAAAATTATATTTTTTTCTTTTTATCATAAATATTTTAAGAAGACAAAATTTAGACGAGAGTAAGTTTTCCAGCGTAGAAGGAAAAAAAAATCATCAGTAGAGTGCAAATTTTAATGTTTAAAAGAGCAGGGAGGGGTTGAGAAGGGGGGGTTAGATTGGTGAAAAGTTATTTTTTCCCAAAAAAGTACTTTTAGCAAAAAATCTGTGAAGTAGGAGCAAACAATCTTCAGTCGAGGACAAATTCAAATGTTTGAAAGAGCAGCGAGGAGCTAAAAGGAGCTATTTCCCCCTAAAAGGTACTTTTCCCAGAAAATCTGTAAAATTAAGATTGCAAGTATTAGATTCTTTAAAGAAAGTAAAAAAAGTACTTTTTATTAGAAAAGTACTGTTTACAAGAAAAGTACTTTTTATAAAAAAAAAGTACTGTTTATAAGAAAAGTACATTTTATAAGAAAAGTACTTTTTATAAGAAATGTTCTTTTTATAAGAAAAGTACTTTTTATAAAGAAAAGTACTGTTTATTAGAAAAGTACTTTTTATAAAGAAAGGCACTATTTATAAGAAAATACTTTTTATAAGAAAAGTACTTTTTGTAAGTAAAGTGCTTTTTATAAGAAAAGTATTTTTATAAGAAAAGTACTTTTTATAAGAAAACTACTTTTTATAAGAAAACTACTTTTTATAAGAAAAGTACCTTTCATAAGAAAAGTGCTTTTTATAAGAAAAGTACCTTTCATAAGAAAAGTGCTTTTTATAAGAAAAGTACTTTTCCCAAAAAAATTTTTAAATTATGATTGCAAATATTTGTTGTTTTAAAGGGTGTGACAAAAAAGTACTGTTAATTTATATTTTCCCCCTTTTCAAACTTTGCCCCGCTACTACTTCTTTGATTTCCATTACACTTCAATTTACCACAAACAATTTTCCATATAAAATGTTCATGTTATTGTTGTTGCTTTGAATCAATGTCTGCCACCATTTTTCTCATAAAATACCATATGCCCCATATAAATACACACTTTACTTAGAAACAACCTAAACCCCCATATAACAATTGCTACCATCCCCACCCCCCTTTGCTCACTTTTATGTCTGTGCTTGCAAATGCCACCCTTAAACTTAAACAAAATTTTTACTTAAAGCTTAATTTGCCAAAATAATATATTCGGAAATTTTGTTTAAATTTCAAATATATTTTGTGGTTTTCTAAATATTGTGGTTTTATTTCTATATAAAATTTCATTTCATAGTCATACTTTAAATTGTACTTTTTTCTTGGCTTTTTCTTTAAAATATATTTAAATTCATTGCTGTCTAAAGCAATTTGCTTTGAAGAGCAGAAAAAAAGAACTTTATTGGTTTGTATTGTTTTTTTTAAGAATTTTGTTAAAATTGCTTTAAATTTTGTAATCATTTTTACGTTTAGGGTTCGAGGAATTTTTGATTAACTTTTAAGGAATTTAATCTTTTTATTGTTTAATGGTGTTTTTTTTCTTAATCTTTATTAATATTTAGGGAATAAAAGTTTTTAATTTAGATTTGATTTAATCGCTTATAAACAAAATAGGTTTCTGCGTTGTTTTTGAATGAAAATGGAACATATTTTATTTAGAAAATGTTGAAGATGATAACAAATGTTAGTAGTTAGTTAGTTTGAAAGGAGGATGTATATACATCAAATCCGAAGAAATACACCTAGGCCTCTATCGGGCCTGTTGTGCGCTCCTTAACCAGTTCCTCAGGTGGGAATCGAACCCACCACCCCCGGTCTACCAGACTAGAACACTAACCACTAACCTACCGGAGGCCACAACCTACCGGAGGCCACTAACAAATGTTAAGCAACATTTTTTGAAACAAATTGCACCAAATTGTGCCAAGCAACATGTAACTAAACATGTTGGAATGTCCCTACACTTATGAGGACTGTTATTTCACAAGGTTTTGAAAGACTGAATACTATCTTAAGTAACCTTTTTTCTAACTTAATAAAGAAAATATGTTTAGATACCTAAATTGTTTAAAGAGTTAAATTGTAAACATGTTGCCAGACATACTTTTATAACTAAAAACGGAATGTATGGGAAATATTTTGCAACATGTTAGAAAACATATTTATGTTGATATAACATACAAAAACATTAGGGGAAACAATTTTTCTTTAGCAACAAAAGGGAAATAGTAATTAAAGATGTTGTGTCGCAACATGTTGCTAAATAGAAATTTTGAAGCAATATAAAAACTGAAGTAAGTATTCAAACAGATCTAACTAACTAACTAACTAACTAACTAACTAACAAACTAACTAACTAACTACTAACTAACTAACTAACTAACTACTACTAACTAACTAACTAACTAACTAACTAACTAACTAACTAACTAACTAACTAACTAACTACTACTAACTAACTAACTACTAACTAACTAACTAACTAACTAACTAACTAACTACTAACTAACTAACTAACTAACTACTAACTAACTAACTAACTAACTAACTAACTAACTAACTAACTAACTAACTAACTAACTAACTAACTAACTAACTAACTAACTAACTAACTAACTAACTAACTAACTAACTAACTAACTAACTAACTAACTAACTAACTAACTAACTAACTAACTAACTAACTAACTACTAACTAACTAACTACTAACTAACTAACTAACTAACTAACTAACTAACTAACTAACTAACTAACTAACTAACTAACTAACTAACTAACTAACTAACTAACTACTAACTAACTAACTAACTAACTAACTAACTAACTAACTAACTAACTAACTAACTAACTAACTAACTACTAACTAACTAACTAACTAACTAACTAACTAACTAACTAACTAACTAACTAACTAACTAACTAACTAACTAACTAACTAACTAACTAACTAACTAACTAACTAACTAACTAACTAACTAACTAACTAACTAACTAACTAACTAACTAACTAACTAACTAACTAACTAACTAACTAACTAACTAACTAACTAACTAACTAACTAACTAACTAACTAACTACTAACTAACTAACTAACTAACTAACTAACTAACTAACTAACTACTACTAACTAACTAACTAACTAACTACTAACTACTAACTAACTAACTAACTAACTAACTAACTAACTAACTAACTAACTAACTAACTAACTAACTAACTAACTAACTAACTAACTAACTAACTAACTAACTAACTAACTAACTAACTAACTAACTAACTAACTAACTAACTAACTAACTAACTAACTAACTAACTAACTAACTAACTAACTAACTAACTAACTAACTACTAACTAACTAACTAACTAACTAACTACTAACTAACTAACTAACTAACTACTAACTAACTAACTAACTAACTAACTAACTAACTAACTAACTAACTAACTAACTAACTAACTAACTAACTAACTAACTACTAACTAACTAACTAACTAACTAACTAACTAACTAACTAACTAACTAACTAACTAACTAACTAACTAACTAACTAACTAACTACTAACTAACTAACTAACTAACTAACTAACTAACTAACTACTAACTAACTAACTAACTAACTAACTAACTAACTAACTAACTAACTAACTAACTAACTAACTAACTAACTAACTAACTAACTAACTAACTAACTAACTAACTAACTAACTAACTAACTAACTAACTAACTAACTAACTAACTAACTAACTAACTAACTAACTAACTAACTAACTAACTAACTAACTAACTAACTAACTAACATAACTAACTAACTAACTAACTAACTAACTAACTAACTAACTAACTAACTAACTAACTAACTAACTAACTAACTAACTAACTAACTAACTAACTAACTAACTAACTAACTAACTAACTAACTAACTAACTAACTAACTAACTAACTAACTACTAACTAACTAACTAACTAACTAACTAACTAACTAACTAACTAACTAACTAACTAACTAACTAACTAACTAACTACTAACACTAACTAACTAACTAACTAACTAACTACTAACTACTAACTAACTAACTAACTAACTAACTAACTACTAACTAACTACTAACTAACTAACTAACTAACTAACTAACTACTAACTAACTAACTAACTAACTACTACTAACTAACAACTAACTAACTACTAACTAACTAACTAACTAACTACTAACTAACTACTAACTACTAACTAACTAACTAACTAACTATTAACTAACTAACTAACTAACTAACTAACTAACTAACTAACTAACTAACTAACTAACTAAATAACTATTTAACTAAATAAATCTTAACATGTTGCTGTTTAAAAAAACTTAAGGTACGTTCTCATCTACCAAATATTTGACGAAAAAGATGTGACCCCTAAAAAATCCACATTTTGTTTTCTTTTGAATATTTTTATTTTCATAAAATTAATGTTATCACTTTACAACGTCTTGTAATGTTGTTTCGAGATTATTTGCTATTACGAAAATTATGTCAGATCAAAAAAAAAAAAAAAAATTGTGTTTTTTAAAATTACACTTTAATAAAATCTACTTTTTATAATGTATTTCGATACATGATAACCTTTGCAACATGTTGCTGAAACACAAAAACTGAGAAATATAGATTTAACAATGTTTTCGGATTAAAACTTTAAGAAAAAATAAATGCAACTGCTCTATTACATTTCCTTACTTTAAACCTTTAACTTTAAATCATATATTTTCTTTCAAAAAAAAAAAAAAAAAAGCGGAAAAATCAATATTCTCACTAAAACCTCAACAAATAA